GCAGTGCCCCCTCCGCCCACCCCCCATCCCACGCGCCTCCTCCGCATCCCCCCCACCCGACAACCAGCGCGCTCCCTCCGCCCCGACCCTTTCATTTCGCAACGGCAGCCCCCCTATCCGCGCGCCCCTCCCCCCCCCCCCCCCCCCAGCGCCGCGCCCCCCCCCCGACCCCCCCTTCGGAGGCACCCTTCCATACCGCGCGCGCCCCCTCCGCATCCCCCCCCCCCCCCCCCGCCACAGCGCGCCCCTCCGCCCCGACCCTTTCATTTCGGCACGGCACCCTCCCCCCCCATCCCGCGCGCCCACTCCGCATCCCCCCAAACGCCAGCCAGCGCGGTCCATCCGCCCTGACTCTTTTATTCTCTTGCACAGGGTGTCTAAGAACTCCGACCATTTTATTTCGGCACGGTACCGGTCGCTGCAGCCCCTCGGCCCGCGCCTTACAACGCGCCCCCTCCGCATCCACTTTCTAAAGCAGCCATGCCGAAGCAGCCCTCCCGCCCTCCGCATCCTTCCCCGCCAGCCAGCGCAGCCAGCCCGCCAGCCAGAGCCCCCCCTCGGCGCTGGCCCCACCAGCCAGCGCACCCCCTCCGCCCCGACAGCCTGATTTTGGCACGGCGCCGGCCCCGCCAGCCAACGCGCCCCCTCCGCCCCGACTGCTTTACTTCGGCACGGCACATGGCCCCGGACCCAGCCTCCCCACCTGGCCCTGGCCCCAGCCCCCCTCGCCCCGAACCCTTTATTTTCGTTTGTCGTCGCCCCCCTGGTCCTGGCCCTCGACCCAGCCTTCGCCCTGGTCCTCGACCCAGACCCCCTCGTCGTCGCCACCCTGGTCCTGTCCTTGGACCCAGCGTCCTCCCCTGGCCCTGGCCCCGGCCCCCCTCTCCCTGGACCCTTCATATTCGCTCGTCGTCGTACCCCTGGCCTTGGCCCTGGACCCAGCCCCCCTCGCGCCGGACCCTTTATTCTCGTTCGTCGTCGTCCCCCTGGTCCTGATTCTGGCCCTGGAGCCAGCCTCCCCCCCTGACCTGGCCCCAGCCGCCCTCGACCCCCTGGTCTTGGCACTGGACCCAGCCTACCCCCCTGGTCGTTGCCCCAGCCCCCCTCGCCCCGCTTGCCCTGTCCCTGGACCCGGCCTCCCCACTTGGCCCAGCCTCGAAAATCTATCGCGCCTCAGCTGCCAACAAAAACTAATTCGAGCAGGTCCCAATCGACAACCGCTGATTCAGCACTGGGGCGCCCTGGCCCCACCAGCCCCTTCTCCTCTTCCTCCTCCTCCCCCTCCTCCTCCGCGCTTCCTTGATCCCCCCGCCTGCGTCTCCTCCCCTCCTTCTCTCCTCATATGTGCAAGAGCCAGAGCACGCGTGCCACTTGTTGTTATTAGTGTTCTTCGTCTTCTTATTATTTTTCTTACTCTTATTTCTCCTCCTCGTCCTCCTCGTCCTCCTCCTCCTCGAATGTTTAATGCCTCCCGATGCCCACTTCGGAGCCCAATGATCGGCGCTTCGCTTGACTTTTCTCCTGAGGAAACAGGTGTGCGTTGCTAGTCGGATAAATTAGCGACAACTTGAAATTCGAAGCCCTCGCCGCAGCGCCGTACACATCTGCGTTCAAAGCTCGCCACCACTGCCCAGTCGAAATTTTGTGGTGGGCAGCCTTGACTAATGCGGGCGGCCCCTGTTCAAGCTGGGTCTGTTGCCTCAGCCAAAGCTTGCCACATGTTTAAAGGTTGGAAGCGGCTCCTTTCCAAGCTTGGGTCCCGCATTGTACCCCCTGGGCTGCAGTCGGCAAACTCCGGGGCCCTCGCCTGAGCAACGGGAAGCCGCATCGGGCGACCCCTTGGACAGACCGTTGCCTCATAGTCCTAGCGGCGTTCCCCAAAACGATTGCCGCGGCGGTTTGGCCCAACGTTTATGCAATGAACAAGACAGCCCCACTAGAATCACATCTTCTGCCACGTGCAAGGCTCCGCGCGCTGGAATTTACGAAGACACCTGGGAACCATGCTGCCGCGTGAGCTGTCTGCTGCCGTGCGCCACCCCTGCTCGGAACAGTCGACACACACGTGCGCAGCTCGCACGGCGACTTCGCGACTTTCTGGGGAAGAGCGCCCGCGGCTATCCCGCACTAGAGCGCCACCTTTTCAAAGATGCCCCTGGCTCCTGGCTGGCAAAGGCGGGCGGCGTCCATTTCCACGACAGCGGCGCGCTCATCAAGGGCGCAGGCAGGTCGTGGACGAATCCGTGGGCACATCTTCATAATGCTCGTCGTCTGCGGGCCACTCCGAACGCGGCGTCGCGACAGCAGGCACCAGCCTCATACACTAGGGCGTTTTGTTAGGTGGGGGCAGGCAGTGTCAAGGATGGGCTTGGCGCTCCGATGGGTGATACTTCGGCTGCGCGCGGGGACGCCATGCAAGCGCCCCCACTGGAGCCATGATCCAGCGGATCTCTCAGCGGGCCACAAAACGCGCGGCGGGCGCGCCAGACTTTCTTTACTCGGGGACGGTGTGGGGTGTGCCGAAATGAGCACGCGTGACGCAGGCGGGCGGTGGCACTGGGGCCTTCGGTGGAGCTCCCCATGGAATCACGAAGCACGTGAGGGGTGTGCGGAAATGGGTGTGCGTGGCGCATGCGGGCGGTGGCTCTGTGGCCTTCGGTGGAGCTCCCTGTGGGGCCACGAAACGTGCGAGGGATGTGCAGACAGTAGACATGTGTGTCCCTTCAAAACGAGGACCGAACACCACAGCATGGTGGGGAACAGAGAAGACCTCAAGTCCGCGCCAGGGCGGGTCCCAGAAGTGATCTTTCGGATTGGCCCACGCACAATGAGTTCGGCCTTCTCGCCCTCTTGTCTCGGAGGGCAAAGCCAAGATGGCCCCAATCATACCAAGAGGGTCAAGGATCAGATGCTGCCGCGCGCGCGGGTGCACGACAGAAGGGCGCACAGCACAAGTGATACTCGGAGTGCAGAACTCGCCAGCGCCGCACGTCGGACATGTCAGGGACGGGGTGCTTCTCTCGCACGGGTGCACACGAGGTCTGGCAATAAGCGGCGCGCGTGACCTGCATCTGTTCGGAGGAAAAAGGTGGCGCGGAAGATGGATCTGATCAGTGATACTGTCGCTCACCCAACATGGAGCTGAACACTGTGGGAGCTCTCGTTGTTTTCACCGGCGACAGGCGCAAGACAAACAAGAACGACAACGCAGACGTGAGGTACGTATGGGCCACATCAGAACGCGAGGGGACACCATATGTTGAGCCAGCGAGAAACATAGATGAGAGTTGCAAGGGTGAACGGGTTCTCGAACAGTCCTACAGGTGGTTCGCGCTCGCTGCGGGCGCGAAGAAAGCACGCGCACGCAATTCCGCACGCCCCACCGGGTAGACATCACGCAGCGCTCCCCGCAGTACTTGCAGCCTTGGCGACGCTCTCTTGTCCCATCGTCTTGATGCCGCCTCTGGGCGTCTCCTTTCCTTCAGCGCCTGCTTTTGGCGCTGCGCAGCACGGCCCGTTTGGCCTCTGATGCAGTGTGTTCGGTGAGATTTGGGGGCCGCAGTGCGAAATATAGCCAAGGGTGAATGATCGAAATTGGAAGAGTGCCGTTGGGAAGATACGACGCGCAACGACGGTCGTGCAAGAACGGCGCATGTCTGGCCCGCCTTGCCACTCATCGGTCGCCATACGAACTCCGGTCGTGCCGCCCTTTTTCAATCACGCACATTCCTGGCCGCAGACTGGAACGACCCAGGCATCTTTGCGGGCTCTGACGCAATTAGTCCTGCTCTCTCCCTCTCTCTCTCTCTCTCCTCTCCCACTCTGGCCTAACAAGGGCCTGACAACATTGCGACACACGCCGGGGAGATGGCTCCTTTCCCTATCCGCCTTCGCCCGAGCAGCGCAGCTGGGTCTCCCTCACGGCAAATCCCGATTTTAATAATTGGGTCGTTCTTGCCCTCTCCGTCCTGGCCGACTCCGCGCCGCGTGCCGCCGCAACTGCTCTCCGCACCTCGCGAACCGCGGCAATGACGCGCTGCCTCAAGTTGTGCGGCTCTGAGGGATCCGGTTGCGCGCGCAGGTGTTGGGTGTGTTGCTTCGTCCCTACGCGCTCCAAGAAGGCGGGCAGGGGTTGGAGGCGAGAGCGGCGCGTTCCCGAAACTGCTGCGCAAAGGTCCGCCAAAGCAAATGCCAGAACCCTTGACGGAGCACCTCGCGAAGCGGTTGCGTGGCACTCCCGGGTACAGGGCAGCTTTTAATAATATGAGTTTTAAACATATCGGATTTTTGAAACATGATTAATGTATGCATACATGTATGCAGAACTCATCGTTGTTTTTAATAATAAATCCCTACATGTTGAATACATGATCCGCACGCGGAGCATGTATTGAAAAACGGCACTGTAACTGCAAAAGTGGATCTGGGGCGGGCGAAGCCGAAACCAAACACAGCCACACACAGCAGGAGCACGAGGAGCCAGAGCGGGCGCGGAGACGGGGCGGGGTGGAAGACGGAGCGGGCGAAGGGGCGCCATGGGGGCGAGAGGGGCGCAGGACAGTCGGCGGCGGGAGCAGGGCCGCGCCACCCCCGCGCACCAAGCGCACCACTCGCTGACCAAGGAGCACAAAGAGCCACGCGCGCTGCAAATCGCAGAAACGCCGTGGGGAAACTCGGCGGCAACCTGAGCGGTCGCAGCTGGGACCAAGCAGTGCGACCGACAGAGTGCCATCAATACTCGGGCGAGGAAGGAGGTAGAGAGGGAGGAAGGCGGGATGACGCGAGAGGAGGAAGGGGCGGAACTGCGGGCGGTTGCTCGCAACCGGGCACGGAGCGCATGCAATGCCTGTCGTGAGGCTCCCCCACTCTACTACCCGCCCCTAACCCCTAACCCCAAACCAACATAGGCACCCCCTGCTGACACATCGCGACGGCACTTTTTTTGCGAGTGTGTAGATCCGCCGCCGCCGCGCCATCGCACCGCGGCCGCCGTCACTTATTCAGGAGTTGGTCCAGGCCTCGTCCAAACCTCGGCGACCAGCACAACATGCAGAAGCGGGCTGCTGTGGCGGCAACGGAGGAAGGGGGAGGAAAAGGACAGAACCACGGGTGGGAGTGGGTTCGAAGGGTGCACCGAGTCGCCTGGTCGGCATATGACCTGTGGCGTCCATAACGCAATCCTCTTCGCCAAATTCCATCGCCGAATTCTTTGTTATTCGGTCGGCCAAAAGACGTGGTGTATACATTGAGCGCCCCCGAGAAAGAACATGCGAATGGGCAACAGGACCAGAAAGATGAGCCGGACGATAAAGAGGATGGTTGACTTACCACGCTGTTCTGACAAAAGGGCGGGAACAGGAGATTTCAACTCCACCCGCTGTAAAGGCGACTGGGGCAGAATCCTGCCGCCCCCCAGGCCCTTCCCACGCCCTGGTCGTTGGGGCACACCCGTACCCTCCGCCCCCCACGCACACACCCTTTCCGAAGTCTCGATGCGCGGCACGGCACCTCCAATGCAAGGTCGAGTCTTCCTCCTCCTCTTGTTCCTCCTCCTGCCTTCCCCCCCTTCTCGGCTGCCTTCTCTGCGCAAGACCGTGCTGCTGCTGAGCTTGCTGCCGCTGCTGTTGCTCCTGCGCATCTTGTTTCGTCATAGCCTCACGCTGCAGGCGTGCTCGCAGCAGCGTGCTCCTCGTGGTCTCGTTCGCTTCAGCAGCGGTCCACCGCCCGAGCCCCCGGCTGTGGGTGGGCCCGTCCCGCAGCTGCGCCACGAGTCGCCCCACGTTGCTGCTGTGCGTGCAGACCAGCGTGTGGGCACCGCGCATGACCTGCACCGTGTCAGGGGCGGAAAGGGGGCGTGGAAGGAAGAGGAGGGCGAGGGGCCGCAAGGGGGCAGGCCGACTGCTTCTCAGCCCTGGTCAACGCCGACGCGCCTGCGCAGACCAACCCATTCGCGACACCACCCGTCGCATGCTTGACTGGTGACACCGTGCACTCCGGAGGAGCACACATGCGTGCTTACATGAGGTCGCGCACACGAGTCGGTGCGTGCGAATGCTGCCTGCACTGGTAAACACATTCGAGCGGGAAGCGACATCGATGGCCCCGAGTGGTAGAGTAGGCGGATGGTTCGGGGCGGAAGCAGCGGCGGAGCGGCGGCAAAATGGAGGGGGCGGGACTGAGGGCGGATAAATGGATGGGGGGACGTGTGGAAACACGGTTTTTTGCTCACTCAAACCAGCGCACAGGCCAGAATCGTCACATGGCACACCGCAAGAGCGGCGGAGCGGCGGCAAATGGAGGAGGCGGGGCCGAGGGCGTATAAATGGACGGGGGGACGTGTGGAAACACTGCTTTTTGCGCAATCAAACCAGCGCACAAGCCAGAACCGTCACATGGCACACCGTGAGAACTATCGTGGGGCCTGGACGCCTCGTGAGGGGATATCCCGGCGGGGCAGTCGTCACAACAGGGCGGCGCACGGAAGCGTTCTGCTTGCCCACTCCGCAGACCCCCCACAGGGGGGGGGGCAGAGAAACAAGGCGGCATCCGAGGTAAGGTGAGGAGTGCTGAGGAGGAGGAGGAGGAGGAGGAGGAGACGGGAGGCGGCCTGAGCGGTCCAGGCCTCGCGAGGCCCAAGAGCCGCGATCCGCCCGAGGTCCAGGGGCGGAGCTGCAGAGGGGAAACACAAGGGCCACGGCCCCGCGCCCGCGCCTGCGCGGCCGCGCCTGCGTCAACGAGTGGCAGACACACGGGCTAGCAACGGCGTGGCCGAGCGACGGGCCCCGCTTCCGCGCAGAAGCGGCGCGCTCCGGTGCCGCCTCGGGCGAGACTGGCCTCATGCTCCGGGGGGGGGGGCCTTCCCCGAACCTTTGGACCTGGCTCCCACGCGCCAGGGCTGCGGGTCCCCACTCCATGCCAGGGCCTCCTCCTCCTCCTCCTCCTCCTCCTCCTCCTCCTCCTCCCGCCTCCTCCTCCTCCTCCCTCCTCCTCCTCCTCCGCCTCCCTCCTCCTCCTCCTCCTCCTCCTCCCCTCCTCCTCCTCCTCCTCCTCCTCCCTCCTCCTCCTCCTCCTCCTCCTCCCGCCTCCTCCCGCCTCCTCCCGCCTCCTCCTCCTCCTCCTGGCCCGACTGCGGCGCCTCTGCAGGCCGCCTCCTCCCCCACCTCTGGCCTCTGCGGGAGGGGCACGGTCGCGTGCCGCTGCCAGGAAGGGAAAAGTGCGCCACGGCGGTGCGGGCAAGGCAGGGGAGGAGGAAACTCGGGGATCCTCTGACTCGGGTCAATCCAGACCCGGGGCAGTCAGGCCTTGCAGAACCCTGCAACATCCTGCAAGATCCTGCACCCAAACCCGGGTCAGTGCGAAGGACCCTGCAAAATCCTGCAGGATCCTGCACCCAAACCCGGGTCAATGCGACCCTGGCCCTGCAAGATCATGCAAGATCGGGCGCTCTGGCTGACCCGCGTTTGCATTGACCCCCGTCTCAAGGCTCCCGAGAAGCACGGGCATCTCGCGCTCCGGCCTCTCTGATTGGCGCACTTCTTCTTCTTCTTCTTCTTCTTCACCCAAGGGGATTGGTCGGACAGTGGGGCTAAGGCTTTCCCCGCGGGGAGTGGGGATGCGTCCAACGATGCTGATTCCTGGAAGAGCTCAGGAGGCGCACTCGGTAATCTCGAGAACGGCGCGACACTAGGAGTTGCATGCCGACGCCGCGCCAGGGCCCGCGCAAGAGCAACAAGCGACGACACGCGTAGCTAACTGGACGAGCCACGCATCCCGGGCATTTCAACTCACAGCAGGGCATCCGCTGTCCGAGTCCAAACATGACAAGACGTGGCCGGACTCTCGTACTTCCAGTTGCAAGACAGCGCCGTACAAAACCACCCGTGCTGACAAAGCCTGTGCCGTGTTCTGCCCAAAACCACCGCAACAAACCATCGCTCGAAATCACAATGTGCACACTAATAACGTGTAACTCCCACCGGCCTCCGTCGGCCTTCCGTCAGCTTCCGCGACAGATTTGGAAATGTCCCATCGAACTCCACATGCAAGCCCCCAAGCACATGACCACAGCGCGCAGGACAAATCCGCAGAGAGGTCTGCGCTCAACTAGCAGCTGGCATCCTGCGCCGCTGCGGTTCCACACGGGGGGCGCGGCGGCTGCAAACGTCTGGACGAAAAGGTGCTGATTGCGCTTGCCGCGTCCGCTTTCAGGAAGGAAAGGCAGGAATAAAGCCGTCCACGAGCGTATCACTATCCCTGACATCGACAGTTCCAAATCGATGGCAACCTTAGGCATGTGCCCTCAGGAACTAGAGGCCTCCTAGATGGGGTCCGAGTAGATGAGTTCGGAGGATCGGGCAGCATCGCCGATGTATCACCGATGCATCGCCGATGTATCGACGATGCATCGGCGACGTCGGCGGTGCACAGGCGACGCCGGCGTGGAGAGCATCGGGCTCCACATCGAGCCGCATCGCCGATGCATTGTCGATGCGGCGCGATCCTCCGAACCCATCTACTCCGATACCATCTGGGAGGCCCAGAGAAACCCGCGAAATGCGCAAGAGCAGCACCGAAGAAAGGTGAGGCCACTCACAGGGTGCACCAGCGATGCTACAAGACACCCTGCCGTCCCAAGTACCCTCCACATGAACCCCTACATCATCTCCTTTTCACTACGGGAAGCGTCCCCCTTGAATGGCGAGCGCCCTGTATGTGTCCGTTGGTTTTGCGACAAGCAACTTTACGACAAACTTGGGGACAAATTTCCCAAAACGAAGAATATATGACTTTCGCCTCCCACTTTCGCCTCCTGCTTTCGCTTCCCGCTTTCGCCTGCCATGTTCGCCTCCCGCTTTCGCCTCCCGCTTTCGCCTCTCGCTTTCGCCTCCCTCTTTTGCGTTCGCCTCCCACTTTCGCCTCCTGGTTTCGCTCTCGCCTCCCACGTTCACCTCCTGCTTTCGCTTTCTCTCCCACTTTCGCCTCCCGCTTTCGCTTTCGCCTCCCGCTTTCGCTTTCGCCTCCCACTTTCGCCTCATGCTTTCGCCTTCTACTCTCGCCTCTCGCTTTCGCTTTCGCCTCCCATTTTTCGCTTTTGTCTCACACTTTCGCTTCTCGCTTTCGCTTTCGCCTCCCACTTTCGCCTCCCGCGTTCGTGTTCGCATCCCACTGTCGCATCCCGCTTTCGCTTTCACCTCTCGCCTCTCCCCTCCCGCTTTCGCTTTCGCCTCCCGCTTTCGTGAAATTGGGAGGCGAAAGCGGGAGGCCAACGCGGGAGACGAAAATGGGAGGCGAAAGCGAGAGCGAATTGCGAAAGTAGGAGGCGAAAGCTAAAGCGGGATGCGACAGTGGGAGGCGAACGCGAACGCGGGAGGCGAAAGTGGGAGGCGAAAGCGAAAGCGGGATGCGAAAGTGGGAGGCAAACGCAACAGCGGGAGGCGAAAGCGACAGCGGGAGGCGAAAGTGGGAGGCGATAGTGGGAGGCGACAGCGAATGCGGGAGGCGAACGCGGGAGGCGAAAGCGAAAGCGGGATGCGACAATGGGAGGCGAACGCGAATGCGGGAGGCGACAGTGGAAGGCGAAAGTGGGAGGCGAAAACGAAATTGGGAGGCAACATTGGGAGGCGAAAGTGGGAGGCGACAACGAAAGCGGGAGGCGAAAGTGGGAAGCGATATTGGGAGGCGAACGCGACACCAGGAACCGACACCGAAAGCGGGAAGCGAAATCGAAAGCGGGAGGCGAAACCGAAAACGGGAGGCGAACGTGCGAGACGAAGCGACAGTGGGAGGCGGAGCGAAGGTGGGAGGCGAAAGCGAATCGCCTCCCACTTTCGCCCCTGCTGCCTGTCGGGAACGTGTCCCTACCTGGTCGTGTGTGGGTGCTTCCTTTTCGTGCTTGGGTCCTCCTTGTCGTGTCTGGGCCCTGCCCTTGCGCCCTGTGGGCATGCCACTCGGGCGAGACCCTGCTGTTTCAAGGATCCGCCCTCCATCGTTCGAGCTAGCAACACACGCAGTGATTGAACTCAAATGTGGCACATCTGCGCACACAACCTGCCACGCCCCAATGCGGGTGTTGACTAATTTCAGAACTATGGTGATGCACATTGCAAGCGTTTCGAACGATGCAACCATGTTGAAAAAAGGCAGCCCTCCATCCGTGCAGCTGTCTAACAATCAGAACTGAAGGTGAAAACGAACGGGCTTCCAATATTTCTTCAACTGTGTGATGCTTCAAACGACTGCGCGCGGCACCAAGGCCAAGAGCCAAAAAACACCGAACCCCATCTGGGTAAATGTTGGAGCTTGTACTCCAGGAAGAGGAGTTGCAAGGACGTCCCAGGCAAAGCGCACGGCGGTGCGACATGGGGAATTCTTTGCAAGTAAGCGGGAGGGAGGAGGAGAAACCAGAAGGGGAGTGGGGAGGAGCAGGAGGAGGAGGAGGAAGAGGAGGAGGAGGAAGAGGAGGACGAGGAAGAGGAGGTTCAGATCCGACACCTATCGGGGCCAACGTTTGTTTCAAACAAATCTGAACGCCCTAAGACGGGCATATCTGCCGCGCTGTTCAGGCCTCCAGCCTGCCCGCTGTTTACAAAGTGTGGCAAACTTCAGACACCACACGCAGGCCATCCCTTGACGCCGAGCAAGCGGCAGGAGGACGAACCGCCCACGTCGGCATGGAGGCCAGAAGAGGCCCCGCTGGAACCGAGCAGAGAGAAGGGGCCTACCCTGCATGTCCGGCTAAATAACACATTGAGCGGGAGGAGGAGAAGGAGGAGGAGGAGCAGGAGGAAAAGAAGGAAGATGAGGAGGAGGAGGAGGAGGAGGAGGAGGAGGAGGAGGAGGAGGAGGAGGAGGAGGAGGGGGGGAGGAGGGGGCAGGGAGCGAGAGGGCGAGGAGGAGGAGGAGGAGGGGGAGGAGGAGGAGGAAGAGGAGGAGGGAGGGGAGGACTAGGAGGAGGAGGAGGAGGAGGAGGAGGAGGAGGAGGAGGAGGAGGAGGAGGAGGCGGGGGAGGAGGCGGAGGACAGGGAGGAGCGAGGGGCGAGGAGGAGGAGGCTGCCTCGACATCGGCGAGGAACTCGTGTGTCAGAGCACGGCGCTCCTCCAGGGGCTGCGCGTTCCAGGCCTCGGGGGGCGAAGGGACGGGACGGGGGGGGGCAGACCCTGGTGCCCGCGCGGGCGCGGCCTGGGCCAGATAATCCGCGCGCGACAGTCCCAGCCTCGAAGCAGTGCAGAAGTGCAAATGAGGCACGCAGCCCCTTTTTGGCGCCACCGGCGCCTGGGTGCACGAGGAGGACCAGAGGAGCAGCCGCGGAATTACTCAAGGAACCGCGAGCCACTTCCGAACCCAAAACAACATGTTTTTCAGCGTCCTGATTGTGCATGAAGCGCTGTGGGCGTCCGCGCTCAGCGAGAAAATGCAGCCATGGCACACCAGTTAACTAGGCACTCCGTGCCGATTCGAGCCCCGAGTCTGCACACGGTCGGAGCCTGTGGAAGAACAGCGCTGCGCCTCCCCCGTCGCCCTTCCTTGCACATAACTCCTCCTTGTCGCCTACCCAGGTTGGTAGGGCGGGCCAGGCGTTTCGCTTCAGACTTCCTCACCATTGATGATCATGCATCTTCGGAGTTGCAGCAACTTTAAGATTGGAAGGCGGGTGGTTTTCAAAATGTGGCTCTCGCCTCAGCGCTGTGCGCATTCGCCTTGGGAGCTTGCAACAATTACAAGGATGGAGGGTCGTGTTCAAAATGTGGCTCTCGCCTTAGCGCCATGCGCATTCGTCTTCAAAGTTTGCAACAGCCTCAAAAATAGAGGGCGGCTCCCTTTCCAAATGTGGCTCTCGCCTTAGCGTTGCGCGCATTCCTTTGAAGTTTACTACGGTTTCAAGGGTTCGTAGGGTCGAAATCCTAGGAATGGTGTTATGTCGCGATTTAGGGATGTCCGGACGCAACAGTCACCTTAATCCGCGGCATTGAAATCCCAAGAACGGTGTTCTGGCACGGTTTAAAACTGTCAGAGCCTAGTCGTCATGTTGATTAGCGGCGTTGAAGTCCCAGGAGTGGTGTTCTGGCACGGCTGAGGATTCTCAATCGGTTGTCTTTCGAAAGAGGCACTTCCCGCAATGAAAATCCATTTGTACAGACCAATGAAGAGGGATCTTGTGGAGGGAAGGTTTATTACAACATCGTTGATGCGTCTTGGGTATACATGGGTCCTCCTCCTCCGTTTCCACATTCTCCTCATCCTCCTTCGCCTCCTCTCCTCCGACTCCTGCTCCCCTGCCGGTTGCCAACACCATCTGGCGGAGCGGGAGGCCTATTTGGTGGGCCGCGCGACGTCGAACTTGAGAGGGGGTGGGCGAACGAATGAGTTTGCCATCGCCCATAGACGACCCAAGAAGGGCTGCAAGCGTACCAAACGCGCTGGCCTCCAAGAGGGCTGGGTTGGCATAGTCAAGTGTGACACGAATCGAAACCGCCAACAAGAAACGCCACATTGCCTCGCGAGAGGACGAACAGGTTACAGTGGGGGCCCATGCCAAGAGACACCCTGCTTGCCTCCAGGGTGCCTTGGGCCTCTTGAGCTTCGATGGTCTTGCCCAGGAGAGCGTGGCGTCCCCACGCCGGAAGTCACTGGACGCTCAGGGGTCTCAGGGCTGGGTTTCTTGTGGAAGGTTTCTTGTGGACGAGCCCCTACTGTGCTGCGTGCGCCGCGCAGATCTCGCCCGAAAGTAGCGCTCACGCCGCAGCGCGGCCACGCCAAGCCGTCCAGGGCGAGGCCGCACGCGAGCCAGCGACTCGCCGCCCTCGCCTGCGCGCCGTGCCGATTTTTCGCTCGGACGCGGCGGAGCCGCGCTGACGCGGCGCACGTGCCGCCCTCTGAACCGCACGAGAGCCGCAGCGGGAAGCGGGGCCGCGCGAGAGCGGACGACCTGTTACTATCCTTGCCCAAGCTCCGCGCAGCTTGGGGTGTGAAGATTGGAATGCCGTGTTGGCGCGGCGCATGATCCGTGCTTGCCGCCCTCAGCCGAAATCCGGCCGCCCGAGAGAAAGCTACATGGCGCTCTCGCCGCAACGCCGCGCAACGATCTTCTGAAGTTCCGGTCCCGCCTGTGTGCGGCTCGTGTTTCCTTCCTCTCGCCAGATCGTCGGAAGCGGGACCGCGCGCGAGCACCTTCCGTTCGCTGGGTGGATGCGCGTGCCAGTCTCAATGCCGAGTTGCGCCACCATTGACTCCTATGGTGCATAGAAAAGGAGGTGGGAATAGACGGGGCCCGCTGACCCTCTCGACACGGCCAACTTGACTCATCGCACGTGGTCTGCGACTCCTATCGCCGCCAGGCTCGCTCGACGAGCCACCTCACGGCGGGAATGCCTTGAACTGCCCGCTCACGGGGCACGGGGGCACCGCTGCAGGTGCCCCTGAGCTGCTGACAGAGCACAACCGCAGCAGCTGTGGTGGGCATGGGAGTGTGGCGAGGGGGGCGAAAGACCGAGGCGGCCAACTCGACTCCTCCTCCTCCTCCTCCTCCTCCTCCTCCTCCTCCTCCTCCTCCTGCACCTCCTCCTCCTCCTCCTGCACCTCCTCCTCCTCCTCCTCCTCCTCCTCCCCTCCTGCACCTCCTCCTCCTCCCCTCCTCCTCCTCCCCTCTCCTCCTCCTCCTCCTGCACCTCCCGATCCTCCTCCTCGGGCCCGCCGGCCTCCCTCCTCGCACCCGCGCGGGGCATCCGCTCCGCTCCCGCCCCCCCCCCTCCTCCTGCAGGCTGCTCTCCTCGGCCCCCTCGAGCGTGTCCTGCTCCCCTGCCCCCCCTCCTCCTCCTTCCCTCCTCCTTCCTCCTCCTCCTCCTCCTCCTCCTCCTCCTCCTCCTCCTGCAGGCTGCTCCTCGGCACCCTCGAGCGTGTCCTGCTCCCCTGCCCCCCCCCTCCCCGGAGAGGGACCGGCTCGGGGAGAAACGTCGACTTGAAAAATCGGCGATGGATCGCCGACAGATCGGCGACGGGGCCTCGAGTTCTGGCTTTCGGGCCGTGACTCTGAACTGAGCTCTCCAGCGGCCGTTCGGGAGAACCTGGGCACCCCTGGAACGCGCCCGGCGAGGCGCAGCTGCTGGCAGGCCACCCCGAAGCCGGAGAGCTGCCGAGAACCGGCGAAGACGCCCGAAGGCCTCGAGCTCCGAGCCCGAAAGCCCCAAGCTTCCCCCTTCCCTCCCCCTCCCCTCCTCTTCCCTTCCCCTCCCCTCCCCTCCCCTCCCCCCCTTCCCTCCCCCTCCCCTTCCCTCCCCCCCCCTTCCCTGCCCCCCCCCCCCCCTCCCCTTCCTTGCCCCCCCCCTCCCCTTCCCCTCCCCCTCCCCTACCCCTCCCCTCCCCTCCCCTTTCTCTGCCCCCCCCCCCGCAGCCTGCTGCCAGTGGCCCCTCCGCAGCGCCTCCGGCGCGCCGAGGCGAGGGCGCCAGCACACCTCGGGGGGGCGCGCGCCCGCAGGGGAGCGGCGCACGCGCGGGTCGGCGCGGGGGCTGCTATAGGGGGTAGGGAGGTCCTAAGTGAACGCTGGGGTGGGATGTTTAGTGGGCCCTGGAAACGACAGGGCCGTTTTTTTACCGGTTCCGTTTTGCCGTTTTTACCGGTTCCGACGCCGTTTTTGTTGCCGGTTTCGTCGCCGTTTTTTGACCGGTTCCGGCTCCGGCTCCAATCCCGGAACCGTTTTTGTTGCCGTTTCTGGTCGCCGTTTTTTACCGTTTCCATTTTCAAGGGGCATTTTGCTGGAAACGGTGAAACCTGGCGGATACACATCAGTCGGAAGAAGTAGGTAGAAGCATGAAGTAGGAAGGCGTTTGAAAGCAGATTGGGTGTCCGCCCGCCCCCCCTCGAGAGGACGGACAAAGGTGAAACCACTCGATCGTTGAAGCAGGAAGGCGCTTGAAAAAGATTGGAATGCGGGGATCCAGAAATACCCTCTTTCAACGATCGATGGGTAAGTGGGTTGCACGTGCCCTGAGTGGCTCAAAAGGGGGATTAGGTAGCTCCGCTGAGTGGGCGGGGCCCACTTAGCCCAGGTCGCTCCTCACGTAAGCCCCTTAGGGCGCTTGTATCCCCCTTGTGACCTAGGCTTGGCCAGACGCGCCCCTCCGTAGCATCCACGGATGACCCCCCCTGCGCAACCCCCGCGGCTGTCCGAACACCGTACAGCCATCGATGGAAGATGCTGGGGAGAAACGGGACGAGGGAATGAGGCCCAGACCCCCGCGCGCCACGAACAAAAATCACGTCGGACAGGCTTTGGCTAATGTTAGGCTTTGGGCGCCCTCGCCGGGCCCAGGGACCGTCAAAAGATGATGCAGGATGGAGCGCCAGTCCCTAGGCATGGGTCGACATCTCCGGGGTTCACGTTGCTTCATTATTTCTCTTTGTCTCTTTCTCCCCTCGGGCTCGTGTCGTAGAGGGCCCTGGAACTCCCCCAAAGACCCCGTCGTGTTATGCGCCAATCGGAACGGGGGAGATGCGTACATATAAGGAAGGGGAGAATCATGGAGGGAAAGGAAAACGAGAAAGGTCAACAAGACAAATTCAATCACGAGTCATAGTTCAGCGCCTTGGGACCCTAGGGGGAAACTAGCCGCCTCAGAACGGTCGATATTATATGTCTAGAGCGGCTCTGTGTTGCGCGTGATAGAATGCCTACCAGCGGCTTCGCTGGGGGACATCATTCGCTTAAAAAACACTGCCTGTCGGGGTAAAGTGGATGGAAGGTAAGTAAGGAAGGTAAGTAATGAAGGTCTGAATGTAGGTAGTGAAGGTCTGCACTCTATGAAGGTAAACGGTGGAGGTAAGGAAGGAGGGCAGGTAAGTAGTGAAGGTCTGAACTCTAGGAACGCCCCTTGGAGAGTGTCGCAAGACGTAGCTCGAGCTCGACCGGGGCTCCTGAAACGTGGAAAACCCATGAAAGAACCTCTCCGGCTTGATCTTTCAAGGTACGGGCTGAAGACCTACTCTTGAGACGACTCAGGGACTCATCACTGAACTGTCCGCTTACTGCCACGTCTCACATCCTCTCCGATCTTGCCGTCGCCGTCGCGGACGCGCGCCGGCTGATGGACTGGCGCCATGCGTTGGTGCTTGTACTACTGTGGGCCATGGTGTTTTTTCTGGTCGTACTAATCAGTGCCTCGGCCTGGGGCTTCTTGCCAGCGACGTCCCAAGCCTGTGTCTGCGCTCGTTCGGCGCCTCCGGGGGTGCTGTCTTGCGCGGTTTTGACGCGGCGGTGCGCCGACGCCATGAAGATGCGTGGCCACAGGGGCCCGTTCTTGTGATCTGCGCCCTCATTCCTGCACTCCTCGCAGTAATCGACCCCCGCCTGCCTGGGCACCACGACGGTGCCGACGTCGGGCGGGGACAAGAAACAAATGAAAACTAGCGCCGATGAGCCCCGTCAGTTCTCGGCCGCCGCTCGGGCAGAGCCTCGCCGAGCGAGCGACGGGGGCCGCCGGGGGCGGCTTGCGCTTGGCGGGGGTCACATTGCAGCCGCGACCGTGCAAGTGCGATGGGCATGCGATCGCACGTGCTAGAATGTTGGCTCAACTCCGCGCCGATGTCCACCTCCTCCTCTCCTCCTGATGCTAATGCTTTGGTTGGATCGTCTGCGTGGCCGCGACGGGCGAGGTCGAACTCGATGGTGGAGTCGAAGAGGGGGGGGCCATCTGGAGTGCGCCTTTTAGCCGCGGGGTCCCCAGATTGAGCGAATAGTTCCTTCACTTCGTCGAGACCCGTGCCTATGTCGCGCGCGAGCGCCGTCGACGCCCGTGGGCCCTCCTGGAAAGCCGCGGTTCTGGGCAGGGCGGACAGGGCCCCATTTGGCCCCGAGAACGAAGCTGCAGCACGCCGAAAACGTCGGCCTCCAAGCCGAATCTGGAGATCACGAGCGATCGCGCCATTGGCCTGGGACAGGGCCCAGAGTGAAGGCTATGCGCATTCGTCGCATCTTGGCGCTCTCGCAGGAACTGAACTCCTTCGCGTCGGGGCCGCGCCAGACGCGGCATTGTCGGGCCATTGCGGGCGTCTCGCTTCTGCTGCGCGGAATGCGCCCGCTGGGAAAATGAGGCTCGACATTGCGCTGCCCCGGGGGCGAACGCGACGGGGGAATGCTCTGGCGCCCGGGCAGAAGGCGCGAATGGCTCGCTTCAGCGCCACGGCAACTCTGCCAAAAGGATCCCAGCCAAGAAGCGCTGCTAAAAGTCGACGCGCTCGGCGCGCCATGACCGCGAGGAAGAAGCGGGCGCTCTCGCGCGCCGCCCGCGGCCCCATCGCACCCCGCCCCTCGACGCCGCCGCGACGCGCGCCGACGCGGAGGGGGGGGGGGGGGCGCCCGCGACAATTCAAATTGCAAAGACCACGGCGGGGATGCTCGTCTGTCTGCCGCCGCGCGAAGGCGCCGCAGAGGCCGGGCCCTCGGAGACGCGAAGGGCGCGAAATCGGCCGCGAGATTGCCCAGGCGCCGCGGGGAATTTCGCGCGACGGGCACCTTCGCGCGACTAGTTCTCTGCGGCGCGGCGGGCAGGGCGCCGCCGGCTGCCCGCCCAGGCGCGGGAGTCGGGCCGCGCCCCCTCCTCATCGGCGACGTTCGCACGAACCTCCGGCACTGCGACCATCTCCGTCAGCAGCGCCGCGCCCTATCAGCGCCGTCGACGCGGCAGACGCAACCCGGCTCGCCGGCGGCAGCCGATAAGCGCGGGAGGCCAGCAGAACGACGCGCGGGCGCGAAACTGCCCGCGCGAAGTGGCGCCAAATCTGCCGCCCAGAGTGGCCGCGCGAAAAAACCAATTGTTTCACCGGACTGGCCTGCGAGCTCGCGGCCGCGCCTGAGAGCGCCCCCCCAAACCAGACGCCTCCGGAGACGCTCGCGCGGGCATTTCCGAAGGGCATTTCGCGCTGGATGCCGCGCGGCAGTTCGCGCCTAACGCTCGGAATCACATTCGTGTTCGCGAGGGCATCTTATTCGAGCGGGAACAATTTCGCGTTCGCGCAGAAAAAAATCGCGTTCGTGCTGCCCCAATCCCATGCTCGCCCAAGAGTGAATGCGCGCTCGGGCAGCGCTCGCCATGCATCTGCGTAGCAATCGCGCCGTTCACTGCCGCGGACTACACGCGTTACGCTTCGCGCAGACACGATCGAGCGCGACGGCCAACCGCCGGGGGGCCGATGGAAAGCAGCGCGCGGCGCGCGGGCCCCTCCGCGCGCGGCGGCGCCACCTGCGCAGTCAAAGCTACCTCTTTTTCGTTCGGAAGGCGCGTCGCGCGCGCCCCCGCTGCGTCGCCAAGGGCTGGACACCCACGAGAAACGTTTTGCGATGGGCTGAAACTGTCGGCGAGACCCGCCCGGGGCTTCCCGTGCAAAAAAAAAACACAAGAAACAGCAACGCATTCTGAGGCCAGACTCCGCGCCGCCTACCCCGCAGGGATGCTCGTCGACCTGCGCGGGCCAGTCGACGTTGTCGGCCTCCGCCCAGCCGCCCCAAGATATGGAATGGGAGCGATGCTTCTGGTCCTGGGCGGCGGGCGCGGCAATGGGTTTCGCGTCGATAATTCCTGCGTTGCGGGTCTGTGCCCCGAGCTGATAATTCGCGAGAGACGCGCGCGACTTCAGCTTTCTGTCCAAGCCCGTGGGCTGCGCGAGCTCCGCCGTGAGTCCAGATCGGCATTCGCGAATATGCCGACGACGAATGCTACGTGAGCTCTAGCTCATAGTATGAAGCCGTCGTGTCAGGGGAGCTTCCAAATCGTGATCTGCATCTGATTGTTGAGCGCGCGTATGTGGTCGCTGTCGATGAAAGTCAACGACCTGTTGTGCGCGGTGTCGGTATCTGGGTCGTGGTTCGGGTGCTTCGGTGCAATGCACTTCCCCTCTTTCCCAACAGTTTCTGGGCATCGCTCGGACGTCCATTCCCTGTGTTTTTTTTCGGTTTCACGCGTGTTTTTTTCGCCGAATGATCAAGGATGCTCCTCGATGGTCCTCGCCGAGGAAAAAACGCACACGTCCGAGCGATGCCAAGGTCTTGATGAACAATAGCCACTCCTGATTTGGAGACTCGCTTGCGTGATGTTCGTAGCAGTCTGCTCCATTCGCCTGCCAACTGCCTGTCATATGTCGGTTCGATCAGAGAAGCACCTCGAGGCGTCCATGAGTCCTTCGCGACGCAAGCTGATGTGTTGAGGAAGGAGCTGGTCCGGGTGTTTTCGCCGAGCCCGCTCGGTCGCCCTGTCGCGTCGGCGAACGAATACTCCCATAAGACCTTCACTGGTAGATGGTCTCTTGGAAGTCCGGAGCCTATCATTTGCCATTCTCTGGCAAGTCGGCGAAATGGACAGGCTGACGTGAGCGTGCATCTTGGTACGAGTATGTCGTATCCTTGAGGTAGTGTCCGCAGAAGCTAAGAAGTACATAGCGCCTGCTTCTCCGAGCGTGTTGATGACGATGCGATCCAATTATTCCATTGGACGCACTAAAACTCCTGCCGCGCATCGTCACCGAAAACGTGTCGCAACCGTCCCGATGATGTGGGGACCGGTGGGACTCCAATGTTTTGCACCTGCAGCGCGATGCAATCAAAATGCAGAGCTTCACTCCCGAAGAGCAAATGGGAGACACAGGTGAATTGGCCAAATCAGTAAACCTCTGATCCAGCGGTCCAAGGTGTCGCAAGCTTGATGATCAACTCGAACTTGTTCAGAATTGTGAGGAGTGGTGGGGGTACAAACTGCAAATGCCCTGACGGGTGCGGATGGCCAACCCAAGGCCTGCTGGCGGTGTTGTCCACATGTTGGCAATACTTCGCTTGGGCGTGCACCCACAAGTAAACTAAGCAAGCGCCCGTATTGCGGACTTGTTGGTGTGAGGTCCTCGACGCCAGCCGGTTGAGAATCACCAGCTGTGCGGGTCGATATTCTTCCACTGTGCGGAAAAGTCGCCGCTGAACTGCTTTTCGCTCGTGCTGTTGAGGCACACGGAATCCATATTGGGGGTCCGCGAGGGTGCGGGTTGTATTGGAGGATGGACGGGCCGCTCATGAAGTCCATTTGTGAGGTTTGGCCGACAGCCGCCTGCGAGATCAGCAAAAGAAAAACGATAACAAACTGCGAACCATAATCCTGTCTTCGAAATGTTCCACCGTGCAAAACAGTTTGTGTATTCCAACGATAAAGGAATGGAAAGGTTTGTGTAGAGAGGGGGACCCGAGCCAAGGGGACTCGACCGAGGCATGGGATAGGGTAGGACAGCTGACCAGCCTGACCTCCTGCGTCGTCTGTCGCGGGCGGCGAGCACAGGTGTAACCTCACAAGCTCTTCCATGCCCCCCGCGAGACTGGCCAGACATTTTCTCGTCCCCGGGGGGAGGGGGAGGAGGAGGAGGGGGAGGAGGAGGAGGAGGAGGAGGAGGAGGAGGAGGAGGAGGAGGGGGAGGAGGGAGGAGGGGGAGGAGGGGAGAGGGGAGGAGGGAGGGGGGGAGGGGGAGGAGGGGGAGGAGGGGAGAGGGGAGGAGGACAAGCCAGGTGCGCTCGCGTCATATCTGACGTCCTACCCCTCCCTCCCATCCCTTACCATGGCGCTGATTTTCTCTATCCGCGGACGCGTGTCGTAGCGGACCTGTGGCTCCGCGCGCGCGTGCGTAGTGGGTGGTGGTGCACGTGCGTGCGTGCGTGCGTGTGTGCGTGGTTGTCGTGGTGGTGGTGGTGGTGGTTGTGGTGGTGGTGGTGGTGGTGGTGGGTGATGGTGGTGGTGGTGGTGCTGGTGGTGGTGGTGGTGGTGGTGGTGGTGGTGTTGGTACTGGTGCTGGTGCTGGTGGTGGTTGTGGTGGTGGTGGTGGTGGTGGTGGTGGTGGTGGTGGTGGTGGCGGTGCGGCGCGGTGGTGGCGGGCGGATGGGCGCGCGAGAAAAAGGCCCGCGCTGGGGCGAGAACGCCATCCTGAACGACGGAGGCCAAACACCGATCCGAAAATGAGGCCCACGCTGCAGCGGGAGCACGATTCGGAACGATTCGGGAGCAGAAATGAGGCCGGCGCCTCAACGAGAGCAGCATTTTGGGAAAAAATGACGCCGGCGCCTCAGCGAGAGTCGTTTCCCGGGATTTCCCGGGAATCCTGTGTTAAAAAACAATACGCGGAGGGTGCGCGGCCATCACCCGGACGCCATCAGGGGAAGAGGGAGAGTATTTTCATATTGAGTAATTGTGGAGGAGGAGGAGGAGGAGGAGCAGCAGGAGGAGGAGGAGGGGGAGGAGGGGGAGGAGGAGGAGGACTGGGGGCCGACGACGCCCAGCAAGACCCGACGAAGGACCCTTCCGCCGCCACGGTCTGGATCCTGGGGCGCGATCCCGCGGAGGTGCGGTCGCACGGGTGTGCGCTCCGCGCGGGGCCCGCAGCAAAACCGCCCCGTGTCCGCGGGGGTCGCGGCCGAGGTTGGAAGGGGCCCATAGAAAGTTCCCGGAACATTCTGAGGTGGGCCTCTAGGAAAGCCGGGACGCCTCGCCATTGCTTGACTCCTCCCCTCCTCCCCATGACCCGATCCTATCATGTATCCTATCATGTCTATCGTTGCCCTCCTCCTCCGCCTCCTCCCCGAGGGCCGCCGCGAGCCTCCGGGGGGTGCCGAAAGCCTCCCAGGGCCTTCCGGCGCCTCCAGATATCTCCGATGAGCCTGCAGAGGCCTCCCAGGGCCTCCAAGGTTGAGCAGCGACCGACCGTGCCGACATTCCTATAGGCCTACCACGGCATCTTCTTAGAACCCCGAAATGTTCTAAGAACAAGAACAACGTTCTTAGAACATAAACCCGCTGTGTTAAAACAAGACGGCTTCAGCCAGAAATGTTCTGAGAACATCTCGTGCAGAGCACACAAGGTTCTGAGAACAGTCTTTGGCAGTCCTATAAGCCTAATTATAGGCAAACGAGGGCGCTTCGCCTCTGCTTGACAAGGAGGCCCTGCCCGGCCCTGCCCAGAAGCTTCGTCGCTGCTTTTTGGACGCCCGAAATGGGTACGGAAAGAATGGGTACAATGCCCAACAGCAAATGTTGTCCCGAACCAACAGCGGCCGCTGTTGGGCAGGCGGCCTCCTGCCTCGAATGAACACGGGCCGCGGCGGCGCGGACGGCGATCCCTGTCCAAAATGAACCAGATCCGCTGTTGGGCATTGTACCCATTCTTTCCGTGCCCATTTCGGTCGTGCAGAGCACACAGGGTTTTGAGAACAGCCTTTGGCAGTCCTATAGGCAAGCGAGGGCGCTCCGCCTCTGCTTGACAAGGAGGCCCTGCCCGGCCCTGCCCAGAGGCTTCGTCGCTGCTGCTTGGTTAGGGGAACAGAAAGTGGCATAAACATAACAACTCGGAGGTCCTCGCGGATTTCTCGGATCGGCGCTGGGGCCCCCTGGCGGCGCCTCCGGTGCCGCCCCTGGCGCGCTCCGCGCGCCAGGGAGGGGGGTCCAGCGCCGATCCGAGAAATCCGCGCGGACCTCCGAGTTTTATGTTCATGTCAAATTCTGTTAATGTCACTTTCTGTTCCCCTACTGGTGGCGGGAGCGGGCCGCAGCGAGGGCCGGCCGAACCGGCGCGGGGGGTGCCTGCACGTCTGGGCGCGCCCGCGCGACCTCGGCCGCGAACGCCTCGGCTCCGCCCGGGGGGGGGGGGGGCCCGTGGCCCCGGGCCTCTCTGCCGTGTGCCCTCGCAGCCGCAGCCGCAGGGAGGGCCCGAGGCCGAGCAGCAGCAGACTGTGCGAGAGGCTGCTGCAGGCCGTGCCCGCCTCTCCTCCTCCTCGCCCTCGGCCTCGGCCTCGGCCTCGGCCTCGGCCTCGTCTGTGTCCGCTTCGGCCACTTCCGCCTCCACCTCCCCATCCTCCTCGTCCTCTGTCGGCCCTTCACCTGCAATCGCCATGTGTTGCGTCTGACTATCCTCCTCGTCCTCCCCCTCCTCCCTCCCTCCCCCCTCCTTCTCCTGCTCCTCCTCGGTCGCCCCCTCCCCCCGCCCACCCCCCGGCCTCTCCGCACAGCTCCTCTCCGATCGTATCCCCTCCTTACCCTCATCTCCCCCCACATCCCCCCGACTCCCTGGCATGAAGGAGGGACCCTCGGACACACAAATAAATACACACAAATAAAAGGATTCTCCATCTTGTCCTACATTTTCTGGGTTTTTGTCTTCCCCCCCACTTACCATGTTTTCCCATGTTTTCCTGGGAGTGGACGATTAATTCTGTCTGTGTGTTTCTTCTCTCCTCCTGAATGAAGGCGGGACCGGGACGACGTCGGATCGGGATGCGCTGGACACCTCTCTGTGACCAGGCGGCTCCGCCGCGCGCGCGCCCCGCGCCCGACGTGCCGAGCAGCACGGGGCGCGCGGCCAGTCGTCAACAGGCGGATCTGCCATTAGGGCAAAGGGGTCGTCTTCGTCGTCGTTTTCGCCGTCGTTTTTGTCTTCGTCGTTGTCGTCGTTGTCGTCGTCGTTTCTGTTGACGACGCGGAGGAGGGGGCGCGCCCCCGAGCATGCTGCAAATGTGGCGGGCGCCGCGCCCTGCTCCGAGCCTTCCGCAGCGCGCCTGGAGCGCTCTGGGACGCTCCGGCGCCAGCCTCTTGTTGAAATGCTTCGCGGTAGCGCCCGTGACCGGCCCCGCCCTGCTCACGTCACGATCCGCGCCGGCGCCGTCTGGGAACTGGCCATCCCTGGGCACTCCCAAACTCGGGTCGGGCGAAAGGGGGGGATAGCAAAGGGGGGGGGTTTAAGAATCAGCTCACGTAGCTGATTTCCCCGGCGCCTCCTGGCGCCGGAGGCGGCTATGTATCGAGGAATGGGCCCCTCGGTGGGGCCGAAACCAGCTGCATGCAGCAAATTTCGTACCCCCCCCCTTTCCTAATCCCCCCCTTTCGTCCGGCCCGACAAACGGCGTCAGCGCGAATCGCCTCGAGACGCATCGCCGGGGGGTATGAAAGACTGCTGGAGCGATCCATCACGCTGCCAGGCCTGCCTGACGGGCGGCGCCGACCTGCCACGCCAAGCCGGCGCCTCGGTCTGCCGAGGCCGCTGCCCGCGGCCCTCCCCCCCCGAGTGCGCGGGGGGGGGGGGGGTACGCTGCTGGAGAGACTGGACCTGAGGCCGCCTGTCCTTTTGGCGGTGCGCGCGGGGGGGTGAGGCCTCTTAGAAGGCTGCTTCTTAGAGGCCGCGCCAGCCTCACGTCCACAGACGAGGCCCGCGCTCTCTCAGAAGCAGGGGTGCCTCCAGGAAGCCCTCCCCCCTCCCCCGACGCCCCTCGGCGCGTGGCTGATTCCCCCCCCCTGTCAGGCACGCGGCAGGTCGGCCCGCCGCGGGGCTGTGAGCACCCAGCGGGCCCGCGCGGCACCCTCGCAGGCCAAGCGTGACGGCGGGCGCGCACGACTGCACGAGCCGGTGGCGAGGGACCCAGACCCCCGACGCCACGACAGCTGTCCCAACGTCGACCCCGGGGCCCCGAGAGGTCCCGACCCCCTCCCCGGGACCAGTGTTTCGCCCTGGGCCGTGCGTGGACGGTCCCGAGGCCCAGTGCGGGCCCTGGGAGGCCGAGAGCAACGGAAAACCTGCCGCCGCTGGGAGGGAAGAGGAAAGAGCGAAGCACTGGAAACATATTGAAGCTCGCTTTTTTACCCATATATGTGTGTATATGTATATATATATATATATATATATATATAACAACTTTGCGGAACAGCGAAAATAGCGAGAAAGGGGAAGGGCGAGGGGGAACCCACGGCGAGCAGTGGCGGGGGAGGACCCCCGGCGCGCGGAGGCCTCGGCGGCCGAGACGTCGTCGCTGCACACGGCGACGGCCGCCACCGGCGGGGCGAGGTGGGACAGCGCGCGCTGCGCGTAGGCCGAGGGCTGGATCGGCCAGGCCTCCCGCGGGGTCGGGGAGCAGGGTTCGGGCGCTAGCATGGATGACGGGGGAGCCACAGGCGAACCCTACCCCTACCTCCCACGGCTCCTGAGGGGGAAGCGGGGCCCGTCGCTGATCCATGCGGTCGCTCTCTCGATGGGGGGCCTTCGTCGGAAAAGATGGGGGCTGTGAAGCCCGACTGAAGGGCCATGGCGCCGGATCAGGCCGGATTGAACCCAGTATGAAACTGCATTCAGCGGGACTCAGCCAAATTAGGCGGGACTGAGCCGGATAAAGCGGGATTCGGCCAGATTCGGCCAGTCTTCGACCAGGGATATACCAGGAATTCAACATCCCAGGAGTTGCATCCTTAGCGGGGTGAATGTACAGCGGGGAGCGGCGGGGGGGGGGGTCGGAGAGGGCGGTGGCGGAGGGAGAGAAGGCGCGGGATGGAGGCGGCGGGGGATGGGGCAAATAGAGATCGAGGTCAGATGGGAACACCGCTGGCGGCAGCACGTCCGTCGGTCCTCTGGTGAGCCGTCTGTCGGGAAGCATTCTCGCGACTCGGAGGCGATGCAGCAGCACGGGGGGAACCCGCGGATTGCAGGGAGAGGGTGCGGAGGAGGATGCGAAGAAACAAGACAAGGAGGAGCAGCAGAAACAGGAGCAAGAGGGCCGAGTCGGCCATGCCTCTCGGGAAGGCCTCTCAGAGACCCCCCCCCCCGCCCGACCTTCTCCAAGAGAGGCGGGGGGGACGGAGAGGAGGGGGCACAAGGAGCGCCACGACGTCACCGCAACCTCCGACTCAGGACAGCCGCTGAGAACTAAGGAGGGGAAGGAAATCAAGGAGGGAAGGGGGAGCAGGACACAGGGAGGAGAAAAGGCGGGAGGGGAAGATGAAATGATGAAAAGCGGGCTGCGCGGATCAAGGGACAAAGACGGCCGGAGAGCCCTGCAATACTTCCGAAGCTGGGAGCCCTGCAGAGAAATAGAGGGTCCGCCTCGTTGCCCTTCTGGCCGCTGGGCTGGAAGACCTGGTTGGGGTGCGTGTCCCCCCTCCCCTCCTCATCCTCCTCCCCCTCCTCCTTCTCCTCCCTCCGCCACATGCCTGCTGCATCGTGCCTCGTGGCTCCTGGCTCTGACTTCATTTATCCTCTTCTTCTTCTTCTGCTTATTCTCCTTCGTACTGTTCGTATTCGTATGCCTACTACTCGTAATAGTATGATTGCTACTACTACGATTGTTAGTATTATTGCGACTAGTATTCTTATTCGTATCACGAGTACCACTATTATTATTATTGATATTCGTAGTTCCATTATTCTTATTATTATTATTATCATTATTATTGGTAGTATTAGTATTAGTATTCGTACTATTATTATTATTATCATCGTCATCATCATCATTATTATTATTATTATTATTATTAGTAGTAGTAGTATTATTATTAGATGCATAATGTTTGTTTTTGTTTCTCCTTCTCCTCCCCTTCCATCATCCATGTCCTCATAGGCAGCTCCTCCGTGCCACTTTTACTGCCAGACGTGCCATTTAAGCGGGCTGGGCGTTTCGACTCATATTCTCTCACTTTGTCCGATATCGAAGCTTGAAGTTTCCGAATGTTACACGCATGGAGGGCGGCTGGCTATCAAAATAGAGCACCGCCAGGGTCCCAAGGAGGCGCAAAACGCATAAAACATGTTTCTACGGGGACCCAGCGCAGGAGACTGTATTGCAGCACCGTTGAAACATATTTGGCTTGCTCTGATCCTCCTCCTCCTCTTCCTCCTTCTCCTCCTCCCTCTCCCCCTCGTCGGTCACAAACCGCGCACCCACATGGACGCAAACAACAAAACGAAAGGTGTTCATTGGCACGCTCGCGAAACAACGGGAAATATAACGACACTCGCGCTCGCCATGGCCGAGGAGACATGGGGAGGGGGGAGGGGGGGGCGGGGGAAGGGGAATGGAACGGAGGGGGAGGGCAACATAGACACTGAAACCCGCAGTACAACTGCTGCGTCAACTTACACACTTCGGTTGCCCATTGTTGGCACGGCCGTCCTCTCTTGCGGCGGGCGGTCCACAGTTTAGGCGGCCCGCCTGCGCTGAAGCGCGCGAGCTTCAAAATCGATTTACAACGGCCGAGATTTGCTTGTGCAAAATCACCTGTCTACAAGGCAACGCTGTCGACAACGGCTTGGCCGCCACCTTTTCCGCAACCGTGTCGTCGCGCACTCTAGATACGCATGCAACTGGAATGCCCAACCGTCGTCGGGCGCACCTGCAATGCGCACGGCGAAGGCCATTTACGCCTTCTACAGGACGCTCCGGCTGGTCGCGTTGAAGAGGGACAAGAACAATTCCACCAGGGCGAGCGGTGCGCCAAGCTTTGCCAGCGCATCTCGGCCAGCCGGGTCGGCTGCTGCTGTCGGCGCCACCGGGCCCGACCTCCAGGCGCAGCGCATCCGCGCCGACTACTCGTGCCCGAGGACCAACCGCGAGGTGCTCGTGGAGGACTACATAGAGGCGGTGGGCCTCTCGACGGCATACGTCAGCTCCAAGAGCAAGCAAAAGCTGCTGGACGAAGCCGTGAAGTGCGCGACGTTGGCGGTGCTTCGGGACATGCGCCCGCCGTGGCTGGATCATGCGTTCCCCCAGGCCTTTCCAAGGGATGGCTTGTTTTCCAAGTTCACCAGACCGTCTTACTTTTACTGGGATGCCAGCGTCCTGGACATGCTTTTCGGCACCGCTCTGCGAAGCGACCTCAACGACCCAGCGGTCAGCGTCGCCAACCAGCTGGCGGGTGTCATCGCGCGCCCCCCTTGCAAGTGCACGGAAATCGTCGACGCCAACACCGGAGCAGCATGCACGAACGCGGCGTCGATGTCACGGTTTTCGCGGGACACCGCGAGTCGGGGCCACTACAAGTGCAAGGAGTGCGCTGAGAGGGGACACGGCGCCGATGAGACGCCAGGCGTTCCCAGCGTTGCCGTTCGCGCCCTGTACCTGTACCCCATGGTGTTGGGGCCGGATGGCGAGCCCACGCCGCTTCGCGCGATGACGCCCCATCGTGTGCTCGTGCACGCGCCTCCAGGGAATTGGGGATGGGGCGTTGAGCCTGTCCAGCGCCACGTGGCGACACAGGCGAACCCCGCGATATCCACGGCCAGGCCGACATGGTGCACCTACAACGCGGAGGGGAGCCAGGCCATTTGGATCGCATCCAGTGCGTGCAAAGCGACCTCGCCGAGGACGTGAGTGCAGGGGGGGCACGGGCTGCGCCAGGCTTTGCCAGCGCTTGCAGGCCCTTTGCAAAATGAGCAACATAATTTTTGATTCCGTGCAGGCTGCGCCAAGTTTTGCCGGCGCTTACCAGCGCTTGCAGGCTCTTGCTCGCCGAGCAAGACGTGAGTGCAGGGGGGGGCACGGACTGCGCCACGCTTTGCCAGCGCTCCCGTATTCTCTAACCAGATGAGGCGCGCCTTCGCCGGCTTTCCAGCCGCCCGTCCTGTTTCGGCTAGCGGCGCCGTCGGATGTCGGCGCAAGCTCGAAAGAGCAACGAAAAAGGAGTGGCGATGACGGTGCGTCATTGTCGACCGCCGATGGGTTCCGTCGACCGCCGATGGGCCGATGGGCCGCCACTGAAGGCCTCTCGAAGGCCTTTGGGAGGCACCTCTGAAACTTTTGGGGGCCGTTTGAAGGGCCTCTCGGGGCCTCTTGTGGGTCTCTTGGGGGCCTCTTAGGGCCTCTTGGGGCCCTCTTGGGGCCTCGTCGTCGTCGTCGTCGCCGTCGGAGTCGTCGTCGGGTCGTCCCTTCAGGCTCCCTTGGGAACTCCTGAATCGTTCCAGGTAGATATTCATCCCTCCACTCGTCGTCGTCATCGTCGTCGTCGTCGTCGACGTCGTCGGAGTCGGCGTCGGAATCGTCGTCGGAGTCAGAGTCGGAGTCGTCGTCGTCGTCGCCGTCGTCGCCAGGAGTACGTAATGTAGCACCATTTATTCCCTCCGCTCGTCGTCGTCGTCGTTGTCGTTGTCGTCGTCGTCGTCGTCGTCGGAAACGGCGTTGGAGTCGGAGTCGGAGTCGGAATCGTCGTCGTCGTCGCCGTCGTCGCCGCCGTTGCCGCCGCCGTCGTCGCCAGGTGTAGGTAATGTAGCACCAGGTGTAGATATTCATCCCTCCACTCGTCGTCGTCGTCGTCGTCGTCGTCGTCGTCGTCGGAGTCGGCGTCGGCGTCGGCGTCGGCGTCGGAGTCGTCGTCGTCGGAGTCGTCGTCGTCGTCGTCGCCGCCGCCGCCGTCGCCGCCGTCGTCGCCAGGTGTAGGTAATGTACACCTGGCGACGACGGCGGCGACGTCGTCGTGGTCGTCGTCGTGGGTCGTCGGTCGTTGCTGGTCCCGGGTGCCGAGTGAAAATTGCCTGGAGCTCCGGCGTCGTTTTGGTGTCGTCGCCGTCGTCGCCGCAGCCGTCGCCGTCGCCGCCGCCGCCGCCGTCGTCGCCGCCGCCGCCGCCATCGTCGCCGCCGCCGCCGTCGCCGTCGTCGTCGTCGTCGTCGTCGTCGTCGTCGTCGGTCGTCGGTCGTTGCTGGACAGGGGTGCCGAGTGAAAATTGCCCGGAGCTCCGGAGTCGTTTTCGTGTCGTCGTCGTTGTCGTCGTCGTCGTCGTCGTCGTCGTCGTCATCGGTCGTCGGTCGTCGGTCGCCATTGGAACTGGGTGCCAAGTGAAAATTGCCTGGAGCTCCAGCGTCGTTATGGTGTCGTCGTCGCCGCAGCCGTCGCCGTCGCCGCCGCCGTCGTCGTCTCCGACGCCGCCGCCATCGTCGCCGCCGCCGCCGTCGTCGTCGTCGTCGTCGTCGTCGGTCGTCGGTCGTTGCTGGACCGGGGTGCCGAGAGAAAATTGCCTGGAGCTCCAGCGTCGTTTTGGTGTCGTCGTCGTCGTCGCCGCAGCCGTCGCCGTCGCCGCCGCCGCCGTCGTCGACGCCGCCGCCGCTGGGGGGGTGAGATCGTACGTTGGGGGGTGAGATCGTAGTGGAACGGAGACTCTTAACCGGGAACTCGTTTCGTTTCGTTGATGTCGTGCGTGCGGGCGAGGCGAAGCTGCGCGGGCGCGCGAGAGGAATGAACCCGCCGTTGCTAGGGC